ATTTGATCATACAATAAATGAAAATGTGACTACTTTAAGCTTTCAAATGTCTATTTATTTAGTTTCCCCTCAGTATTTTGTGGGTTAGAAGTTGCTTAGGGCTATTGTCACATATTACATTTAATAACCATATATTAGGAAACAATTTTATGTACTACAACTACTTGTTTAGAAAAATTTCAACGATGGTTGTTATAGCATTCATAGAAATTCTCCCAGAAAAGTGGTGGTTGTTTGCACCTATTCTAACTCGTTGGTTTTATTTCTGTATATGGTTATTTCTAACATTTTCACAGATGAGAATTAATTTAATGCACTACCCATTTATTGTCAGTCTTGCACTGGACTCAATTAAATGTGACCATTGAGTACAGAAGATAGCTGCAGTCAATTTAAGGGTTGCAGGAAATGTTACAACAAAAAGACTTCAGTGTATTGTTTTGTGGACGTGTGATTATGCAGACATTTTTGATGCAATGATCAGACAGTCTCAAGAGTTGAATACTTTTGGCATGTTATGCAGGAGTTTAGGTCAATAGAAACTGAAAGTCACAAAATAATGAAACATATACCTACATTGCAAGGTATACATTATAAAAGGTTGATTTAGTAAACATAGCAGCTTCCTAAAAGTTTCTGCAGTACTGATGTGACCTGTGTGCTGTGGTGGTGTATCAACACTTGTTATAGCGAAAATGGCCCAGGGACAGAGACCAGAGAGGATAACACTCGGGTCAGGTAAACATAGAGGAACATTCCCATTGCTAATCATATGGAAAATACTTGTTTTTTCATGGATTACTTATGTTTCTGCCTTCACAGTTCTTGCTGTAAGCTCATTTTATTAATTTAATTAACAGCTATTTTTTCAAGGTTACAAATGCTATTTGGGCGAGTGGGATTAGAGAAAAAGGGAGTGTGCGCAATTTAATAGCTTTGTACTATTAATCCAATAAACCATCATGGTACTTTCAATCTAATAAGCCATCACAGTATATTCTATCAATTGTGGGTCTGGTGTTATGGTGCACTGCTTCACTGAATGCCATGGCCTTTCATATCTAAAGAAGGGCTTTTGCATCTTGTAAGCTATTGCAAGGAATCTAAGCAGCAGCATCTCTTCATTAGTCCCAATTACCTTTAATTAAAAATCTTCAATTGACTTGGCAGAAGTGATGACTGGTGAATATGTCACTAAAGTGACAAATACACATGTAAGAAATTTAAGGTGCATTGTAGTATTTTTTACCATGGCTGATTAAGCAAGTCCTGTAATTATCATCACTCATCTACAACTGACTTTATCCACAAAACTTATTTTTAGAATGGACTCTGTCCAAGCACAATGAACAGTTAAGTTCCAAGCTTGCAAATGACAGTCTGTCCTCTTCTTTTCTGTTGCTCATTTATCATTGTCGTGCTTACAGCCTCTGTAATAATTTCAGACGTGTAAAGTAATGGGGGTTTAGACTGCTTGGCATTTGTCATTCGGTGTACTGGAAGAACTACAAAGTTAAATATGATCACATTGCCATTATATCTTCATTTTAATGATTTTAAAAAGAAGAGGAAATATTAAGGTAATTAAACTGATGTGAATAGGCGTCACATGTGAAACAACATGAAAATCAGTAAAAGAAGGCAAAAAAATTAAATTATAACATCCCTAAACACCCTGTGTGAGAATTTGCCATTTTAAAGTATGCAACATAATCCTGGAAACAAAGAAAATGTTAGAATAAATGTGTATGTTAATGACATCCCAGATGCTTGTCTAGAAGCAAAGTTGTATCAAAGGGTTTTGTAAATTGTTAACAAGATACTGTTGGCAATATTCTTCGTGCCCTCCCCGCCTCCCTCCCCCAATTTATTTGATGTAATAGTATGTCAGAAGGAGTCCAGACAGTCCTTAATGATTATGGCCCTTCAGGGTCTTTTGCAAAAGGAGGGGGTGTAACTCCTACACAATGTCATAGTTTTCCAAAGGATAATGAAATCCACTAAAGTATGACTGCATTCTTTCTGAATTACAGCTGTAAAGCTAGTAAAAATCAGAACTAAGAAAAGAGTAGGAAAAATGGGGTATGAAAAGAAATTATTTGTCTTTAAAAGGGCACAATTTGGCTGGGACTTATTCAAGAACAAATGTTCAAATAGTGTATAAAGCAGAACTTTGTCAGTAATCAGTTAGGAAACTTCATACTTAATTATTGTTTCTCAGCTAATACCAAGGATTATAAGGATTTAGAGAAAGAACTTAGTCAAATTTCCACCACATATCTCATCTTCAGAACAATGGATTGCACATCTGCACACATTGTACATGCCAACCTGGAGTACTTCACTCTTCAGCAGATTCTGCTGGTTCAGAACCATCAAATCCCATTTCATCAAGGATACTGTACAGTACTAGCTTTTATTTTGAGGTATTTGTATTCAAACAAATTTTTTAAGTTCATCTGAAGGTGGGACAAACAGTAATGAAATGCTACAGTGACAGGCTGGAAGATATTTATAGTATTATTCAAGTAAAATAGATTACTTAGTTTGGCATTTGCAACATACTGTTATTACCAAGTCATTTGGTAATAAACAGTAGGATATCAGTCTACTTGGAATCCAGTTAAATGTGTGCTTTTCAAGAGGGCTGTGCTGTTGGCCATTGCTGATTTATATAACTGAAACTAGAATTCTACTTTATTAAGTAATGGTTTAGTTTTGTTGGCTTCATCGTATTAAAATGAGATGTGAAACCAAGTGACAATAGCAGTATAATAGCTGTTTGAACTTTGGCCATGAGAGTTAGTACATCATAAAGTGGTGTCTTCTGTGTCTCACTCTCTGCTTCCCTTTCATCGAAAGTATTATTGATCATTAATGCCAAAATGAAAAATGAGAGGTAGCAAATTAATATAAGAAAACATTTAGATGGCAGCTGTTCTACATTAGGTGTAGTTAATGGTCATGTTTGCAACCACAAATGTAATATTTACATCCATTGAAATAACAGAATTGATTAAATGGGATAAGAGAAGAGTGATACCAGCTTCTCCAGAGCATTGTTTTTTGTAAATTTGATTGATGTTGATGGGGCCTGTTTTGGATCTGCAGAATATTAGTAAGAAGATGAAAAAGAATCACAACTAGACAAGCAGTTCATTACTTTTCTTGAGCAAAAAGAAAAGAAAAATCAAGAAAGAACAGTAGTGAACGCACTAATCGCATTTGCAAACACTGTATAAGCTCTGCATAGATTGACATAGAAGGAAAATCATAGGTTTTGATTAACGTTAATAACACATCACTAAAGCAGTTTGCAGATACCAGCTAGAGATTTACTTAGAAACATGGCTTGTAGCTACTGAGAGTGGTATTGAGCATCAGATACTTTGTATTAAAAATTTTCCCTGTCAAGCAAATGAAATGAGTTTAGCTTGGAGGAAAACATAAAGGGACAGAACAAAAGAAATGGGGTCCCACAGATATGAGGAGCTTTTATTAAAGAGTGTCTATATCATCTATCTATGAGTGTAAGATTTTTTTTGTTGTTTTACTTTTTTTTAAGTACTGTAGCTGTATGATTGTCCTCTTGTTCTTAGTAGTAACAAAAGAGAAAGAAAAAAATCCCTAAAATCTTGTCCTCCCTAGGAGATATTTGAGGAACAAAATATCCCCAGTACTGTTATCCAACTGGCAGTTATCAATGTCTTCTCTCCTTTTATTTTATTTCTGCTCTTTACTATATGGAAAATGGATCAGTTTTACCCTGGTCAGTGCTATTTGTAGGTTCCTTTTATTCCAGAATCTGACATATGAAAAACTTCCTAGGAAAAATGAATATCATTTGTCTATGATTTATAAGCAATCTTTGCTATTGCAGACACAACATTGATCTGTCAGTTCACAGTTGTGAATCTCTGGTGCCAGAAGTTGTTCCACCATACCATGGGCCTGCTCTGATCTAGTTATTGACTCCTTTTCCTGCCCCATTCCCATGGGTATGCTGGACAGCACAGCCCTCCTGGAGGCACTGCTTGGCAGCAGAGAAAGCAGAGGTGCTGGAACATGTGTTCCTATACTTCACAGCAGTCAGAGATTTTCCTGACTCAAAAGTTTTTTTCAGTGGGTTCTCTAGACAGCATATCCTCTTTCACAGTAGAAAGCAAATCTAGAATATTATGAAGCTTAACCCTGAAGTTTTTATGATGCTGGAGTTTGAGATTGTTCAGGGCTGAACACTGATTGAGACTTAATATTAAGTATTCTGTTTCAATAGAAATGAATTCTTTCTTAGTTCCAAACTCCTCTAAATTGTGAGGTTACAGTGTTTTAATATTCACCTATCTTAGCAGATGTTTTTATTATTATTTTACTTTAGTGATGAAAGGAATGCATAAGACTGTGTGATTTACTATACCAGTCATTGTAGGGAAGGTAGGCTTGTGATTGTTCCCTTGTAAAAATACTATCCTGTGTTATCAGAAGTACAGATACAAAAAAAACAAAACTAGATTTTCCTGTAAAACATTCATTAGGAGTGTTTTTGTTAAAAAAAAATAAATACGCTTTTAATGCTTGGTTATACGTATTTAGTGTAACCATCAAATCAGCTTGAATGCACTTATAGAGAACATTACTGTATTAATTTAAAAAAAAATTAATGATTTTATGAAGAAAGTCAATCTATTTACTCTCATGGAAGAGAAATGAAGGTTGGATTTGAGTTCTAGTCCTGATAGTTGTGCACGGAGTCTTGAAAAACTGAATCAAAACAAAGTTCTAAACTAGTCATTATAACTGAAAACATCAAGCAGCATTAACATTCTTTTTTAACTTGCTTTCACATTTCAGGGTTGGCACACTGATGAAGACTGTATTCTGTAGAGAATACAATGGGTAGAGCTGTCAAAAATTAACTCCTTTTCAACAGCAAAAAACATCAATTGAAATTTCTGTCTAACAAACACCCTTATTGACTTCCTTTTTAATTTTTTTCACAGCGGATCTTTCTCAAAGCTGGAAGTGAGGAAGAAATCTTTGCACATCTTGGCTTGGATTATGTTGAACCATGGGAAAGGAATGCTTAAAACGATTTGCCACAGTACATTTGTCGATTGACAGCAATGGTCTTTCTACCCATATCTCAGTGTAATTTAGATATATAATACAATATGTATTTCTGTGACAACTAAAAAATTTAAATATATTAGAAGTCATTTGCACGTGCTAATGTTCCTAGACGAGCTCAAGCTTTTCAGAGTCTTTTCCAGTCTTTTCTGTGTTAGTTTTTGAAGTTACAATGTGGAAGTGATAAGATAGAGCTTGTTTTGGGGGGAAATTTGAAACTGGTGAGATTTTTGCTTCTAATAGGCATTTAACATTCCTGTGAACAATACTTGCTTTTTAAATAGTCAGCTGTGACAATACCTAAATAATTCAAAACATTTGAGCTGAGTCGAGAAATTACTGAAAGGTATGCTTATCGTTAACTGAATTTCTTAAGTATTTTACTGAATCCATATATAAGATTGCTACTGTATATAAGGCTTAATGACCTAGGCAGGACCTACTTTGCAGTCTCAGCAACTTGAAGCTTCAGCTGTAATATTTTTCTACATAAGGCTGTAAAGAAGTTGATAATTCAGTGACAGTTAAAAAAACATTACACAGAAAGGGATTTTGAAAAGAAAAGTACTCAGTACTAAGCTTCAATTGTGCAGAAAAATACTATAAATTTGGAGTTCTGATGTGGACTAAAGATGATTCAGATTATGTGGTGTGATGGTCCTCAATCAGGAATTTGAATTATAACCTGCATGAAAACAACTGTTTCAACTGTCAGACTGGTGACCCTCGAAGATGAAAGCTTTTCATTGTCTGTGCTCAATTTAGATAGCAGGAAATTTATTTATTAGTATATATATATACATTGGAATGGAAGTTTACCTGAGCTATTGGCTACTCTAGAAAAGTGTACTCTCTTTTTAGTCAGAAGTTCACCTGGGATGTGAAATAAAAATAATCCTATAAGGTATTTTGTTTCAGAAAATGTCCAGGTAGCTTTTGTCACTGTAATGATAATGAAGAATTTGTAATACAGTTATCCTTTAATGAACAAGGACATTTACTGCTTTAGGACATGAAGCTGTTCACTGACCAGTCATTGTCATTTGTAGAATAAAGGTGATTAAAAACACCAAATAATTTTCTTTCTTAAAAGTCTGAAAGTTTTTTTTCTCAGTTGAGGCTGACTACACCTCTTGAAATGATGGGGAAATAATGGTAGTGACAGGGTTATGCACAACAGTTATTACTTACAGTAAAGGCTTCCCATATTCAAACAATATTTGATACTTAGAAAAAATGTACTGAATTTGTTTACTCATTTTAGAAGACTGCATCATAAACTATTCTAAAACCTCAGGCAGGGATGTAGAAAAATGTGATAATGGCAGAAATTTTCTTCTTGACTGTGTCAAAGCATCCTATTTAAGTGCAGATTTGCTAACTGAGCTGAAAATACAATGCTACTTTCTAAATTGCTCTAACTATAAAGCACTGGCATTGCTTCCTGCATTATGGTACTGAAGTGTGAAGTATCTTCTCTGTGTTTTGCATCAGGGTGCTGACACTTACTTGCCAGTGGCCTTTTTTAGTCCTAGTGCAAAAGAACAAAAGCCTTGTCTGAATATTCTTTCGATTTGGCCAACATTTATCAGAAATTATGCATTCCAGTTGTGCTGTTTCTCCATACTTCAAGCCACAGAGGAAATATGAAACATTCTGAATTCCACATAAATAAATAACTTCCATCTTGTCTGCCTATACACGACTTATAATTATGCCACCTATAAGGGAGAAGATACCAACACAACTTCTGGTGGCTCCTTCAAGATTGAAAGAAAACAGCATATCCCTTTATTCTTTTATTTCCCTCAATTTTTCTGCGCTTTAGTTAGAATACATCTTACAGCTTACTCACTGAATCAACTATTAAAGAATACTGTGGAACTGTTAAATGAGGGGTTGGGTTAAGCAGAAGAACAAAGTTCTTCTATCTTCATCCTGGTTTGACCGTGAAGATAGTTTCTGTTATGAATACCTTCACTGAGGAAGCTGGTACCCCAGTCAGTATTATAGGCACCATATGCAGGATCATCCTTGATAGCACCAGCCAAACTCATCGTGCATGGACTGGCAGAACCAGAAAAGCAGAAGCTCCATTTTTAGTAAATTAACTCTGAATCATAACATGATGCTTCTTGCATCAATTAAATCTAGTCCTGCAGTTCTGAACAGCCCTGTAATCATTTCAGTGGTTCTTGATGGTGCTAGTCAGCTGAGACTGTAATTAAAGAAGATAAAAGTCATATAGGAGAGCTGGGATGAAATAGGTTAAAGGAAATAAAACCTTTATCAGCTGAGCATGTCTGAATCCATCAGCTAGTGAAAACTCCCTACAGTGTAGTGGAACTGTTGGAGTCAATGGTAACAATACTTCTGAACTCATGAAGGACAGGTGAGGCCTCAGGGCCTGAAAAAGGGCAAACACTTGTAACAAAAACAGACTAGTATTTGTAATAGGAGGAAAGGAAGAGAGAACTTTAGATCAGTGCACTTAATATTTCCTAAATTGCTGGGATGATTAATAGGCTATATTTTTAAAGCACCTAGGGGAAAATAAAGTGATAGGTTATTGATAACTTGTTAATCAGAAACAAATCATATCAAACTAATTCAGTTATAAAGTCCCTGGAGGCTGTTTTTTTTAAATGTCTGTCCCTCCTCCCCTGCCTTATGCCAAGGCAATTTGGCAAGTAGTGAGTGGAGAAGGATCATTGGTTTTATAGGCATCTACAGACTAATTCTCTAAAAATGTTCAGTAACTCTATCTCTGGGAAAAATGTAAAAGTTAAAAAGAAAGCCACCGTTATTTTTTTTGTTCATGGTTTATGGTAATTTATAATTTGTCAAATAATCTCTTAAGGCAAAAGCAATGAGATATATTTAGATTGGTGGGTAGTAATATAGTTAATGTCTAAAGGACTAATATACTGAAGGAAGAGCTAATTCTATCTACACAGCTTTACAAAATTGCAGATCCAAGCAACCTAAATACTCAATACAGCTGAAGCCACATGGGCTTTCTGCAAAATACTGGAAATCTGAGAACTGTTGCTACTATATATAAACAAGCTGCAGAATGTTAAAAAAAACTCACCAAGCCCAAAGATCTGCATGCCTTATAATCTCTAAATGAAATGTGTTTTCTATAGTTTATGGGCAGAATTGTTTGGCTTTCTTAGGTGAGACCATTTTATTCCTTAATATGAAATGCATTCTTTCCCTTTTTGAACAGCTATTTCTTTCTATTATACAGTTCTCTTTGGAAACTGCAGTTAAAATAATCAAGTCCTGGGTCTGAAAGGTTAATTGAAGCCACATAAACAAATGAAGACACAGAGCTCTGAAAACCTTCCTCCTTAAGAGGAGGACCAAGCAGTCCTTATCCCTGCTGTGTGGGTGCACTAAGTGTCTTTTATTTTAATCAGGATGCATCAGATGTAACTTCGTTTAGCTGATGAGGCTCCTTAGGAAAAAACGGTCTGTTGACAGACCTGGTTGGAGTTCCCTTTTTAGTGATTAATTTATTTAGGATGAATAGTCTGATGTTTGTTTAAAGCTTCTTTTGTATGATTTGTGGTATTAGGTCTGTCAAATTCTAACTTTGGATTTGGTCCATTTATTTTTAACTAAAAATTTGGATCTTTGAATGAGGAAATGAAGTATCTTCAGGTGTGCTGTATCTCTGCCATAATTTTATTGTGCATGTTTTGCCTCACATCATGGTTAGGTGTCTACAAGGGGATTGCTCTAGAAGTGCCTGCTCTTGATATTTAGATTCCCAAATCAGTCTACATCTATAATTTATTCCACATTTCCATTTCACTCCACCATTTCAGCTCTTCTTTGCTGTATTTGTCATCACAGAGATTTTCAGCTAGAATGTCAGCCTAAACGTTAAACATTAAAAATATGAACCTCACAAGCTATTTGTCAACTTCTGTTTGACCCTCATCTCTCTGGTCTTTGCATTTTTTGGTTTGCACGATGTGCTGGTTTGGGCTGGGGTGGAGTAAATTTTCTTCACAGTGGCTGGTATGGGGCTGTGTTTTGGATTTGTGCTGAACACAGCATTGATAATATAGAAGTTTTGCTATTGCTGAGCAGGGTGTACACAGAGCTGAGGCCTTTTCGTGCTGCCACATCGATGAGGAAGCTGGAGGTGCATGGGAGGTTGAGAGGAGACATAGTTGAGACAGGTGACCCCAACTGACCAAAAGGATATTCTAGATTATATGGCATCATGCTCAGTATATAATGTGGGGGGAAGAATGAGGAAGGGTGACATTTGGAGTGATGGTGTTTGTGTTCCCAAGTCACCATTACTCATGGTGAGGCCCTGCTCTCCTGGAGATGGTTGAACACCTTTCTGCCCATGGGAAGCAGAGAAATTAACCCCTTGTTTTGCTTTGCCTGTGTGCTTGGCTTTTGCTTTCCTATTAAACTCTCTTTATCTTAAACCATGAGTTTTCCAGCTTTTACCCTTCCGATTCTCTCCCTGCTCCTGCTGGTGGGGAGATGAGTGAGTGGCCGTGTGGGGCTTGGCTGCTGGCTGGGGTTAAACCACAACATGTTTCCTTGTTTGAAGGTCACGTGGAATACAGTGGAATTGTATGTTGTGCCACCCTGACCTAAGATCCTCTGCTAAAGCCAGTCAGAAGTATCGCTTCACACAATGTCAAATGATAACTGGAAAAGGCTCCATGAATGCTGTTCAGACCCCTTCAGAATACTTAATTAAAAATATGTATTTAATGACTTCTTCAATAAATGTGTATTATAGGCAACCCATACAATCTAACACTATTTTTCAGCTAATGCCTCCAAACAAATAGCATTCTCAAATACTATTGATAATACAGACAATCCATATGAGTTGCATTGGTGGGGGATACCAAACCACATATCCCACAAGCCCAGGTGCCTTGGGGAAATGTTATATCACTTGGCTGATGAGAATCAATCATACCTGCAGCTGGTGACTGACCATGGGGTGAGAGATCATGTGAGGGTAAGTACCAAGGCTTCTAGTTTGCTGTGTTTTCGTAAGAAATCACACTTTTTTAAAAAACAAGTTACTTTTTCTTAAAATTATTATTGTTAAAGGCATTTGATTCTAGTTCCTTTGTGACTGTGCAGCAAAAAATAATGCTACATGGTATATTTCTTTTTGTGTTTCATTCTCTCCAAAATCAAAATGCTAATTCACAGGGATTTTTGGAAATGACAAAACTTCCCAGATCCTTTGCCACAATTTGAAATTATAAGGTAGCAACATTTACATTGAAACCAACTCAGAAACATTTTTATTAAATAAAGAAATCTTTTCTAGCATTGTTTCATGTATTTGTTTATATACATGAACATAGTATGTCCAAATTATCCTAAGTTTTCTGTTAGCTTCAGTGTCTTTTTCTCCTCAGAAAGCTGTCCATTAAGGTATAATAGAAAATAGAAAGGAAGGTCTCAATTTTTAAAGAATAAGTGATTTTTCTGCTGGGGTTGTGTAGTTTACATTCCAGAAGTTGGTGGTTGCAACACTGGGGGAAAAAAAAAGAGTAAATAATAAAAACCTTGTCCCAGCACTTTGAAAATAAAATAGTAATCTTTGTATATTTCTAAACATTAAAAGAGAGATGATTTGAAATTGTCTTCATAGCTGGGTACATATAAGTTCAAATATGGAGCTTGATGAGGTTATTTGACTGTGTGACTATGTGGGAGTGTTTCTGCAGTTGGAAACTATTGCTGATGATACAAGTCTGAAAGTGTTCAATTTTTAGTAGCCTAAGGAAGGGCTGAAAGACCATTTGGGCCTGTGGCTTTCATAACTGTACTCTATGAATCCCATACTTCAACATGCAGTGGCTCAGAAATTTTGCTTTTGCACTCCCCTGACACTCAAAAGATCAAAGAGACAATGTTGAGAGAATAGCTGGGATCTACTGCTTCCAGTGATCCTGAAGTCCTTTGGTTCTGCTTTAAATTATTTTATGATATATGAATTTGGGTTCCATGTTTTAA